ATTTTGATCCTTATTCACATCATAACTTTAAATTTTGGGTGAATTCGAGTTTGAAAATAGGTGTATTTTAAAGTCAAGAGGTAAAAGGATTATTAACATTTTAATAGCAATAGCACTTAGACTTATATACTGCTTCATAGTGCTTTACAGCCCTCTCTAAGCAGTTTACAGGGTCAGCATAAGGCCCCCAATAATCTGGGTCGTCATCTTGGAAGGATGGAAGACTGAGTCAACCTTGAGCCTGATGAAATTCAAACTGCCAAATTATAGGCAGCCGATAGTCAGAAGTAGCCTGCAGTACTGCTTTCTAACCACTGTGCCACCGAGGCTCTTTAAATTACCTTATAATCAATTATATGATTTTAAACTACTTGAGCTATGGCAAGAGGAAATTAAAGGTAAAATTTCCCCTCTCCAGTCATGAGGCAGTGCTCATCTCCATTTCTTAGCCGAGGGATCAGCGTTGTCCAAAGATGCTTCCATGGTCATGTGGCCAGAATGACTATACATTTGAGGCATGGACTGCTTTACATTCCCACCAAAGTGGTACCTATTTATTGAGTTGCATTTGCATGTTTTGGCAGATTGGCATGAGCTGGGGAAGGAACAGGAGCTTACCCTGTTACACAACAGTTGGATCTCAAACCCAGGATGTCAGCTTTCCAGCTGACAAGTTCAGAGTCTTTAAACCCTGAGCCATCGGTCCCCTCAAGAGGAAATTACATGGCCTAAAACGATGGAATGGTAAAATGTTCAATGAAAGCAACCTTTGATTTCATAATTTGGTCCAGATCTTGGGATGCATCCAAATCTTGGGATGACAATCATTGTTTGAAATGTAATAATGGGACGATGAGGGAATGAGGCTCAAAGCACCCTTGGCCAATCCATAGTGTAAGTGGGTAAGCAGAAGTGGAAAGGAAGAGACAACAAGCAGACATGAAACAAAAAACTGGAAGGCACCTCAGAGATCTGCTAGTGCAGGGGTCCCCAAACTTGGCAACTTTAAGACTTGTTGACTTCAACTCCCAGAATTCTGGGAGTTGAAATCCACAAGTCTTAAAATTTCCAAGTTTGGAGACTCTGTTCTAGTGACTAGTCCAAACCCCTGCTCAATGCAGGAGCCTTACATCACTGCAGTCAAATGATTAGCCAGTCTATTTTTGAAAACCTCAGTGATGGAGGACCCAGAACTCTGGGAGGCAAGCTATTTCATTGAGTAAGTGTTCTCACGGTCAGAAAATTTTCTCCTTACTTCTAGATTGGATATCTCTTTAACAAGCTTCCACCCATTACTTCTTGTTCTGCCCTCAGGTGCTTTTGAGTTTTGAATTCTAGTAATCCTTATCAATAGTGCTGCTACTTGACTAAATTCCCCTGCATAGGCATGAATAATAAATCAATATAATTGGAACTTAACATGTGGCCCTGGTCTTTTATGGGTGACAACAGCCAGTTTATTCGGCCTTCTGATTATCTGATATTATTTACAGATCAATTCTTTTTGCAGATTACACCAGCAGATTTGCCTTTTGGATAGGGCAAAATGCAGTATTTTTCAACTGCAGCAGCAAAATAAGCAGCCGGGCCAAAAAAGCACAGGAAATATTACAAAAGTTAGAGCCAGAATAATTTTTCTTCTACTATCAGAACCAAATAAGCCTATGATAAGAGTGGGCAAATTATTTCAATTGAAGTCGTATCAATTGGGGATAGTCTGAGGCCATACACTGCATCATAATTGTCCTCCATATAATTTACAGGGCCAAAGTGTCTGTTTTTTCATCTGTTCCTACATCAATTTAAGCAATTTTGATCTTTGCTCTCCCTTGGTAAATGTATCACAGCTTTCTAAGAACGTCAGGCTCCAATTGTTAAGATCCTCTAAGGCAGGGATCCCCAACCTTTTCGACGCCGCGGCCCGGTTCCGACATCAGCTGGGCGCCGCGGCCCGGTACCGGCGTCAACTGGGCGCCGCCATCTTTTTATGACGAAAAGGGCTTCCGGTGAACTTTCTACCCGGAAGCGCTTTTTTACCAAAAAAAAGATGGCGGCGCCCAGCAACCAGCGGCCCGGTAAGGGTTGTTCCGCGGACCGGTACCGGTCCGCGGACCGGCGGTTGGGGACCCCTGCTCTAAGGCAGGTTATTACAAGATGTGATTTTTTTGATGTCTGCCTGTTAAATCCAGAAATGCTGAAGGAGAACAATGAATTATGGCTTTACTTACCCTGGCAAACCATAATATAACATAATGAAATACTACAAGGGGAAATGGATAGAGGAAAATTATTTTCTTCTACCATTATCTCAAAGACTTCCTTGCTAATGATTCTAATATCATAAAGAGATTTAAAGTAAACTGTACTTCTAAGTATCCCAAATGATATCTGCAAATATCATGGTTTCATTTATTTATATCCTCTTCATAAGAGAATTGAGAATGTGCTGATCAATGAATGCATTAATAACTCTTTCTATAATCATCCTACTTACATAGGAACTCCATTAACGAATACCAGTATTTGCAGTTGTATTCCACCCAATGTCTGCTCGCTATATTTATTTGTAAATGAGCTGAATACTTCATGAAACTAGTATACCAAGGTGACTTCAGGTCACAAATGGTTGTATGGTAATTAACATTAGTAAGGTATTTATGTTGCCATGTTCTTTAAGGTATTTTATAATATAGTGGAAGTGACCAATTAACTTGAGTAATGAAAACATGGACTCTTCATTTATTATGACCAAAACTGGGACCAGAATTTCCGTTCCTAAGCAAAGTAATTATTGAGTTGCACCCGATTTTACATTTTTGCCATGACGATTAAGTGAATCTCTGTAGTTGTTAAGTGAATGTTGTGGGCCTTAAACTAATCCAGTTTCCCCCATTGAATTTGCTTGTCAGAAACTGCAACCATTGTAAATATGTGCCGATTGCCAAATGCCTGAATGTGGATCATGTGACTGTGAAGATGCTGCAATCAAGGTTGTGTGAACTTAGATTTTAAAATGACAAGCACCAAAAATATGGAAAATATACTAGATATACATTTGTACACTAGATATACAAATGAAACCAGCTGATGTTTTAATAACTAAGAGACATTCAAATGTGATAATAGATAAGTAATAAGTGATTATTAAGCAATAATAAGAGTAACTTAGATAATTTTCCTCTATTGTACTTACAAAGGAGACCTGTTAAATTTTGAAAGACTTGGTGAGGAAAAAAAAAGTACCATGTTCTAGGACATTATTTGAAGAAAATAAAGATCAAGATACTTTACAAGGAAAGGAATATAAAGTTGTTTTATTTGATCAAGATTAAAAAAGGTGTTAATTCTGGCAATCCTTAATGGACTTTTGCTGACCAAGTTTGAACAATGAGGATTTAAGGATCTGTCTTTAGATAAGAGATGTGACATGGGATGAAGAGATTGTTTGTCTTATTTTACAAGAATGGTAAGTTGTTAAAATTGTTTAGATTTATCGTGACTTATTGTGACACAGGGGAAAGTAATTTTATAGTTTCTTTTCTTTCCTTTTTTTCTTTTTTATTCTTCTATGTGCGTGTGTATTCTTTTCTACACTTTTTATTATTTGTAGCTTGTAGTAGTTTTGATTTGCATAAAAAAATTATTTAGAAAAAGTAACCAAAGATGACATAACTGAAACAGCTTTACTTGGCAATTTCTATAGACTTTCATTGCTATCTCTGTGTTCTGGAAGACAGAGTAACTGTGAAATTAACCTTTCTTCGAGATCCACAGTGGGTTATGGGTGATACTGCATACTTACATCAGAATTACCAAGATTTTGCATTCAGAGAACATACTGGGCCCACCATTGACCTGGTTTACTATATCTTATGAATATAACTGAAAGAGCCAGGAAGACAAAAAAAAAGTTTGATTTTAATAGTTAATAAATGTTGATACAGTACAAATTTTGAGGAGGAATGCTACAATACTATGGACTGATCTGAAGATGCAGATCATAGAAGCAACTCACTAAGATAACTTTGAACATACAAGGCCCAACAAGCCACTGCATGCTCTACCAATCCAGACATTGGGTCTTGTACATCATGGTTTATTTCTTCATAATGTGAACTCTTAACTGTGGTTTGTTAACAAACCATTCAAAATCCATGTAGTTTGCTAACGGGACTATGTATCTTGCAAACCTAGAAACCTGGGTTGAGCATTTCAATTTTAAACACAGATCTTCATCCCTTCCCCCCCCCCCCACTTCTCAAATTATGGGGTGCTCTCAATAAAGGTCCTTTTTCCTCCATAACAATCTTGACCCTTCTCCTCTTCCATCAGCTTCTTCTGACAGGAGTTTTGCCAACCCAAAGGAATAAGAAACCACGAGCAGAAAAGACACAAAGCCTTTTTATTTGGCAGAGCCCAGCTGGCGGCAGGGCGGCGGAGAGGCGCGCTGCTGCCAACCTCCCGCACCCACCCACGCACCCACCTCCGCCACCGGGCACACGTTTTCGAGCCCCGCAGTCCCACTGCGAGCAGTAAGCCCTTTCCGGTAGGCAGCGGGCGGTGACGTCTCTCTCAGGCCCTTTCCACTATAAGGCCCGCGAGTTCCCAGGCGGCCGAAAACAATGAGCCAAGCGGAACCTTGCCAGTCAGCCAGCGGTGACCTGGCCGCCGCTCTCAGGGCTTTATGCCCTGAGGAGAACTTTGCACGTTACGGACGGCCAACCTCTCGGTGCAAGAAAGCAAAAGGAGTTGCCGGAAGAGCCCGTCATCAACTCCCCAGCAGCGCTTCAGGGGACAACATTTTTTCAGCATGACGCGCCTCCCCCACGGCAGCGCACCCAGCCCGCCGGCCCCGCCAAGGCGCCTCTCCCAAGCCCCGCGGGCCCCGGGTTGGAGGGCAGTGCGGGCCACCTTTGCCTCTTCTCCCCCCCCGCTTCTCTCTCTCGCCCCTCCCCTCGCCTCATTAAAGGCACCGCGCGCGCTTGCGGAGCTTTGGTTACCTTCTTTAGCTTTTTTCCTCCTGGCTAAGGTGCCTCCGAGCTTTCCGAGGAAGGAGTCGTCTTTCTTCCGGGAAGGGGGCGACTTGGGGGTCGGAGACTTGGGGGAAGAAGGCGATTTCTGAGGAGAGGTTGCCATGGCGGTGGCTCCTACCAAACGGCGCCCGAGCCTGGTTGGGAAACGAAAGCGGAGAGGCTTCGGCTCGACTCAGTCACCAGCGGGCTCGTCCCTATTCCCAACGGAAGCGGAATTATTTCAAGCATCTAAGGCTGCTCTGGGTCTGCTCCTTCCCTCCCTCCCTCGGTCCTTCCTCCCTCCCTCCCGCGCACACCCAGAGAAGGAGGGTTTTTTCCCCCCTCTCCCTCTGGCAAACTCGCGCAGAGCCCGATCGGCTCCGTTAGAGAGCTGCTGCTGCTCGTTCCCGCTCCCCTTCCTCAAAGCCCAGAGATTGTGAGAAACGTTTGCGGCTTTGGCTCGCAAATTGCTCCTGCATCTTCAGCGGACCTGCAGGTAGACTGTAAAAGATGCTGCGGCCTGGACCTTGGGGCAAAATATGCAGGGAAAAGATCCCGGCGTCCACCGCCTGCTTAGGCATAGGTCTGCAGCCCGATCCTGCTCCCTACGGTTGCTTGACAGGAAAGTCGGTGGAGTTGAATCTACTTTTCACAACTCTTACGCCTAGCTCTATTCGTTTCACTTGCAAAGGGGGAGTTTGGGGGAAGATCCTGCGTGTCTCCATTCTGAATTAAAGTAAACTCGCGTCTTTAGTTGCACTTACAAAGGGGCGACCGCGCAACTTGGCAGCCCTTTCGCTCCCCTGGGCTGATTTATTCACCGTACCTGCATCATTGGCCGGGACAGTTTCAAAAAGTAGCGTAGTCTGTGCTCCCGGAAAACATTTCCCGCGACGTCATTTCCTAGCCCAGTTTCACTTACACATAATGCGTCTGTACTCCTATCAATGTCAAAACTAAATCTTTGTCCCCCTTCTTAAATTGTATCGCCTCTTTTCCACTCCGCGTCCTCCTCGGCGGAGGTGGGTGGGGGGAAGGAATCGTCTGAGGATACCGATGTGCCGCCGGGGGATCTTGAGGATTGCCGAATTAAGAATTCAAATGTAATGTTAGAAAAGGTGTTGAAAGGGGGTTGGGAAAAAATAACGTTTAATGCAGTTCCTTTGATTTTGGAGGCTAAGCAAGCTAGCCAGGAAGTAACGGAACGCAAAGTTGAATAAAAGTGGGAGTTACTCTTTTCTGCTTGGTCGAGGATCTGCTTCACGGGGCATAAGTCTGTATTTCTGTGCTGCCAGCTGGTATTAAGCAACTGAGCCATTTCCCAAGATGTTGGTAGGTGGGAGAAATGAGCCCCATAAAAAGTTGACTTTTATTCACCATTTACATGAGACTACTGGAAAAGATCAAAAATGTGGTCAGATAAATCAAGGCTATGGTTTTCCCGGTTGCAATGTATGGCTGTGAAATTGAGGCCTTTGAACTATGGTGCTGGTGAGGATTCCTGGTTCTTTGGACTGGAAGGTGATCAGTCAATCCTGACTGTTCTTTAGAAGGCCAGATCCTGAAGATGAAACTCAACTACCTTGGGCACCTAATGAAAAGGAAGGACTCACTGGAGAAGAGCCTAATGTTGGGAAAGATTGAGGGCAATAGAAGAAGGGGTGACAGAATGAGCTGGCTGGCTGGAGTCACTGAAGCAGTAGGTGTGAGCATAAATTGACTCGGAGGATGATAGAGGACAGGAAGGCCTGGAGGAACACTATGGGTCGGACATGATTTTGCAACTAACAACAATCATTTGTTGATATTACAGATATTACAGTACCCAGCTTTAGATTTCAGCCTTGGCTGAGGAAGAAATACTGTGGAGGTCCTTTCCTGGTACCTGAAGGTCTGAATGAGGAGAATCAGAGTTTAGGCTTGAATCTAGCAAGATCAAATCACTTTGGTTTCAATAACATGCTGGTCATCATGAGTTACTTGAAGGAATGACACTTTCCCAGATGTATGTAACTCGTGGTTCCTCCTGGACTGTTAGCTCCTGCTCAGTGAACAACTGTGGCCACAGGGCCTTTTATTTAGGGTTCATTTTAGATATCCAAAACCAAATCTTTATAAAAGCAAACTCTCCCTTGCAGACCACGCAGTGAAAATTACAAAAATAACATTTAGAGTTGTGTCCAAACTTACTGAAACTAAGTAACTAAGGATAAATATTATCAATTAATTATAACTAAAATCACCATTTTTAGACTTTACTTATTAAAGAGTGGTGTGGTGTCCTAGTGGTGAAGACACCTGTCTCCCACTTGGAAGGTTGAGAGTTCAATTCTAGGTAGCAGCAGATGATTTTCTCCTAAGGCCCAAAGAAAAAATATCTGCTGTGAACTCCATGTGACATCAGGAAGGACATCCGGCCAGTAAACACTCAACTCCATCCAGTCGCCCCCAACTCTACACCGAATTAAGGGATTACAGAGTCATAAAAAGGAATTATTGCCCTCAAAGGAAGATCATTGAGGCTAGGAACTTTGGCTTACTGTACATAGTCAACAAAACTCTAATCTGCTAAATTAGGGCTTAGTTGCATTTACATTGTGTAAGATCAAGTTATATGCTATTTGTATCAGAACTTTCCCATCAGTCAGGAATCACAGATTTTTGCACTTAAATGTTTTATACAATACTTGATATTCTTTAGAAGAAGAAGCAGTGACTTTGATTCATATTTTACACACACTTTTTTAAAAAATATTTCCATTTGGAATAGTAAACAAAAGATGTTCAGTGTTATCCTACACCTTTCATGCAAGTTTTAAAAAGCAAAATTACAAAAATAACATTTAGAGTAAACCAATATTTTTATTATTTGTTTCAATACAAATAGCCTACTTAAAATTGCTTTACATCTTGTTCAGAATAAACGCGTATATATTAAATTACAATGTACAAAGTACAAATATCTACCATAGTTTTAAAGTTTAACATGTATAGTGACTTTTAGTTTGCAAACACATAAATTGCATTTTCTTAACAGCAACTGATTCCTTTTTGTTTTTTATTTACAACATACATATACAGTATAATTTCTAATCAACTGTTGTAACTGTTCATAGTTACAATGGCATTCTAATCACAAGAATACCATCCTCCACCTAAAGAATTAATGTAAAATGTTAAGTGGTATGTAGTAGTACATACTGTATGTCAATCACGGAAAGTCTTTTCATCATCCATCAACAAGATATGTTTACTTTTAAGGAAAACTAAAACAGTGTTGCAGTTTTGTAACTATCAAGTATTCTCAGAATTAAAAATCCAGGAAGTAGAACACAAAAACCATTCTAGTATTACTTCCTCAGTGGAATTGTATTAGATAAGGCCCATTTACGATTCAGTCATTCTTTTCCCATAAAAGCCAATGCTATTTTTACATTATCAATTGGAACATTATTCCTTTCCCCTACAGTTGTACTGTGCAATAAGATTTTGATCCTAATTTACTTGATTTATTTATTTGATTTCTATAAGCCCTGCCCCCTTTCCACAAGTGACTGGAGAGCATACATTAATGGTATTCACTATGCTGGAAGGACAATTGTTTTCTGAGAACTTTAAAACATAGAATAACAGAGTTGGAAGGAACCTTGGAGGTCATCTAGCCCAACCTCCTGCTCAAGCAAGAGAGTCTATACCATTTCAAACAAATGGATGTCCAATCTCTTCTTGAAAGTCTCCAGTGATGGGGCACCCACAACTTCTGAAGATAAGCCGTTCCAGTGATACATTGTTCTCACCGTTAGGAACTGTATACACCTTCCTGTGTTTATATTTGTCAAGCAGTATAAACTTACCAAAATACAGTTCTTTGGCTTATTGAAACTTTCTGTTCCTTCCAAGAAATACTATTCTTCTGTTTTTCTTATGTTTCTTATTCATCAATTAGGCCCTGTTTCAAATACAAAAATTAAAAGTTAATAACCTTTTGTTATTGCATTAAATAGCATACTGGATATATTTAGGGCTAGTGTAACAAAAGTGGGGAAACCAGAATCAGGATCAGTTCTGTCTATTTATGCTGTGATGTCCATGAATATCATCAGACATGGAATATATTAAAAAGCTCACCAGGCATTTGTGAACAGGTTGCCCACCTGTATTGCTGTGTATGTGGACTTTTATACCCCATCAAGGATGCTGTTCAAGCAGGGATTTATAGACAAACTTGCTAAATGAACAATATACAAGAAGCTGCCATTCATACATTGCACAGACTTTCATTCAAGAGTCGGTTCATAGTTCCAACAGGAACATTTCTGAACCCATCCTTTGCCCATAATCCAGATATGAATGCTAAATAATAATTATTTGTATGTAAGAATTATTTCATGAGAGTCATTTTGAACATTCTTTCTCCTATCCTACCAAATACTTGAATTGTTTTTAAATTTTCTTTGTAAATGATGACTCAAATGTTGATTTAATTTTAGCACATATGTTCTAAAAACTTCCAACTCTGTTGTTTAAATATATGTTCAGTACCTCTCACACTATTACCTCATTGGGATAAGCAATGCTGTGCAAAGAGCAAGAAGTAGAGGGTGAAGCAAAGGAAAATCAGGAGGCAAAAGGAAAATTTACACAAACATTTCGCATACTTCCCCATACCTTCACACCCATGCTTTCACCAGATCATGCACTGCCTTTTGTATTTAAAACCTCTAATTTCTCTGTTTTTCATGATTGTCATCTGTTCCATTCAGATCTTTGTGAATATTGAGTTTCTTTATCTTCCCCTTGGTCTCAGCCCATTTACTCTTTCTCCATATATTTCTTCCCTGATTTGATTCTCATTCACTTGATTTATTACAAAACATCTCAGCTTTGTTCATATTGATTTTTCACTTTCATATTACTACATTCATCCATCAGCCTTTCATTCGTCACCATATAAGAAATTTTTTTTGGGGGGGGGGGGGCGAGCTGGTGTCACGACGATACGGCATGCGATCTTGGAGGTCTGAGATTGCTGCCGATATTTTTGCTCCTGGATGGTCCTATTGGATCTAAACCGTCCCGAAGAGATGGTGAAAGTGAAGAGCGCATCCTGTCGATCCCAGGGATACCGCAAAGTCCCTGGTAGATCCAGGAGAAGCTCTTCTTGCCAACGGCAAAGAGGCAGCCATTAAAGCTGCTGAAGTTGGGACAGCTCCGAAATGGAAGAGAACAGAAAGAGAGAGTGTGCCGGTTTGGTGAGAACTTTTTCTTTATTCTAAGATCTGAAAGGACACCCTAAGGAAAAGAAAGAATCTGTAAAAGTTTTGACAGAAGTGATTAAGCGGCAATTTTAAACAGGAATGTCAAAGTAATGTTTTTTTTCTCATTGCTGGATTTTCGATACACGATCTTATATTTTGAAACTGGACTGTTTTTTTCTTTTACATCTATTTTTTTTCCTCCTTTTTGATTTTGTAATATTTTAGGCTAGAGGCTCCCTTTTAGTTATTTCTTTTTTTAAAAAAATCTTTTTCTTTTCTTTTTATTATTATATCTTGCTTGGAAAAGGAGGGGGAAAGTGAGAGCAAAGAAACTTTGTAACACTGCCAACTAGAGGCTTGAAAATATTCTATTTCCCTGTGACCAGACAAAGCTGAGAAAGAAAGAACTGAGACTCTTTTTCAAGGACATTGCTATTAGATAAGATAGAGGGAAGAGCATGGGAGAGTATTATTGCAGGTGCTCTTCTGGGTTTCTATCAACAGCTGGAGTCTGGTGTTGAAACCTAGGGGGAAAAAAGGTGATAAGTTTTTGGAGAAGAGAGCTATAATAAGAGCCTTGGATAATTAAACAAAGTGCAGTG